TATTCTTTTTTATACTTAAGGATAAAAGAAAAGACCATATTAATGTAAACAAGATGAAAATTATTGTTCTTTGAATTCTTATCTAATCGACTCATCYTACTTCTTTGCAGCAACGTGTCTTAAAGGGTTTCCAGTAAAAACAGATGATAACAGACAAACAGCATGAGCTAATCAACATGTTTCACTCCCTGCAGCTGTTAAAGCAGCTAAAGTTAGTTTTGGTCAAAGCTTCAKAGAGCTGCAGGTTGCAGAGCCCTGCCATGATGGATGTTTCAGAGCTTTAAAATAAACGCTAACGTCAAACTGAGCTTTTCTGCAGAATTCARCAAATCCTAAAAAGAATCCTGTTGGAGAAAAGGGAGAAGTTTCAAAATAAGAGTCTTTTGTTGTTGTTTGTGTGTGGTTGTTTTAGGCAGGACGGCTGTTGGTTTGTTGGTGGAACATGTTTGTAAGGACTCGCACGTTTAAAGCCTGTGAGACAGAGAGGAGCGCTCGCTGTTTGTTTGCAGGCAGATCAGTTAGCGGCGTTAGCGCAGCTGATAGATGAGATTCCTTCAGCTGAATTCAGATGTTGGCTCTCTGAGGACCGCTGCCTCTGCTCTGAGAACAGATTTAATTTGTTCAGTCAGGTCAGCTCAGCGTGAGAAACATGCAAAGCAGCTTCTTCCCTCCATCTTTTGATCACCGGCTTCTCATTTCAGTTTCATCACTCTTTTTTTTCCTCTGCAGCTCTTATCTGTCTGAGCCCGCARCGTCCCATCCTGCCTCTCCTCAACTCTTTACAGCTGTTTCCTGTGACACTCGGCCCGTCCCCTCGCTCCTCTCCCTCCATCCATCCATCGCTCGCCTTCTTTCTTTTCATCTTCATGAAATTATTCATTCATCCATCCCTTCAAATCACTTCCATCTCCATCTTCTGCTGACTCTGATCTGCTGCTTTTAAACGTTTTACCTGCCGTCAACCTCATTTCCATTGATCAGCTTAGCTTCATTTCTGAATAATGATTTGTGATAATGCAGGTTCATGCAGACGTGTCTGCGTGTCGTCTGGAAATGAGCAGGATCTGGTAAAGTTGCTAATGATTGGATGCAGAGGAGTTCGTTTACATGCTGATTGGACGTCTCTGTGATGAACAGCAGCAGCTGATGAGAGCAGAAATACCTTTACTTTGTCAGGWGGAACTAAAGCTTCATGTTTATCAACTTCATATAAAGTTAATATGATTCACCTGCACTGAAGCTTTACAAACTATAAAATATCAACATCTCATCTGACGACACTAAAACTGACGGCTGGTTCTGAGAACGGTTGGGTCTCAGGTTGAGTTAGGACTGAGTGGATGAGGGGGCCGTGGGAGGGGGCTGGGAGGTGCTGTTTCTACTGAGTGATGTCATTAAAGCAAACAGCCGAACGTTTACCAAACATAAACAGACTCATGTTAGAAGAGTTCAAAATAAAAACTAAAATCAGTGTAGGCCACTAAATTCAGCTTCTGCCTAGCATTCTGCTAATTTGAATTGCTTAAACTAGCGTACTGCTTTAGCTTTTAGCTATTACTTTGTTACTGTAATGCTTTAGCTTGTGTGTTGCTACTTTTAGCTGGTGTTTAGCTGT